AATAGAATAAATAAACAAATATCTAAAATGAGGTTTAGGGAAGAAATTCTTCAGTTAATAAATTTTTGACACAGTGATAAAGAAAGATCTGGGATATCATTGGTGTTAATTATAAGATAATATTAAAATTGTAATGACTTGAATTAGCTTCAAATTGGATCAATTTAGATTAGAAATGTACGTTACTGATTGTTTTCAGTAGAGTTCTGGAATATGAGTAGAACAACACTTTAGTGTCCTGAATGTCAAGAACTTTAAGTAATAGAGTTTGTTTGGATTTTTAACCCTGGAAGGTTAGCCACCCAGAATACAACCATGGATACATCAGTTCGCGCATTGGGGGAATGTCTGTCTTATTTCCGTCCGGTGGTCTATTCAATCTTGTCCCTCAGGATACAACCCTCACCAGTTCGATTCACCCCCAGGTAACCTCACTTGCTTGTCTCTAGGTGAATTGGGACAAGTCAAAGGCAAGGAGAAAAAAAACGGACCAGTGTTTCCACCCTTGCCAAGGATTTTGAACCATGGACCACACTGTGTGTAAGAGCAGAGAGTGTGTGCCTTAGACCAGGCCACAGGACACATTGGGAATGCTTTACATATACTGTAGTTAGGATGGATATATAGAGTTTGGAGTGTGTATTGTGATTTGAACCTGCTTGCATGGGCCCAATAATTGGGTGCATTCTTCAGTTCGTAGAAGGATTAATAAAGAGTAGATCTGTTTTATAATGAATTCCCTACTAAGAAAACATCCATTAAGGTAGTTGCATTGCTGTATATCTTAGTATGATTAGGCTACTCACCCTTACGCCCCAGAAGACATGGAGGTCTTCTTAATGGTGATAAGTTGTGTTGGTGTAGCGCTGTCTGAGATGCTAGGTCGAAAACATGGGTATATAGGCATGATAGGGTGGGGAGCTGGCATTGTCATTGGTAGTTCAGTATCTGGAAACTCCTATGGTGGGCTTCAGCATATCCTTCAGTAACTGATTCGGTGTTATGTACTACATTTGTAGTTTCGTTGGGACTAGTATGCAATCTCTTTTGCTCTCTTAATGCCTTATCTAGTTAGTACTTGTAGGGAGGTACAGTGATAAATCACTAATATTTCTCATATTCTGGGATTTAGTAGTGGATGAGAGTATAAGTTTGTTAGATTTACAAAAATGTAATGCCCTCCTGTGTGACTAAAGTCGTACATTTATCGTACGAGTACAATTTTAGATTATAAAGTAATTTTGTAGAATACATTTTACCACATATTTTTCTAATTGTTGTTATTGTTGGTACTAGTATGTATTTCATTAATTTCAATGTGGGAGTGCGGCATCTTGACTCGTGGGGGTTCATACTTGGGACCGGGGAAATGGGATAGGCGAGTTAGGTTTGATCCAAACGAAAGGTGGCAGCAGAACGATTAGCTAAGAAATCTAATTGGACCAATGTCTGACATCCGCACCTCATAAAAAAAATGTCTTTGAAATGAGTGCTAAGAAGCGCAGGATTGCAAATCCGCCTGATTCCCAAAAATCTGCACGTTCCAGGGCATAAACATGGGTTCAGGGAGGTCGCTCGGCTTCTCACAACTACTGTGGATCACTTTTTGATATTGGTCCTTGAATGCACTGGAAAAGAAAATCAGATAATGCCAGATAGTAATTTACTCAGAACTTTGCACAAGCATTTGACAATGCGATGCCATGGCGTAATCTAATAGTCATAAAATACGTGCTAAAGGAATAACTGGGAAAGTGGGGATGGATGTTCAAAACTTCCTAACAAATCGAACACAAAGAGTAACGTGGTCAAGAAGAGTTAAAGCGGAGGCTGCCATAGCGAAGAGCTTCTTGTTCCACAAGGCACATACCTCGCCCCATCTTATTTCCTCCATGTCCTCAAATCAGTACAGTTAGGAGACAGAGCATCTGACATCACGCACGTATCTCATCCTTTGCGGATGATACTAGGAATCGGATGAGGCTGTCAGTCTGCTGCGGTAGGTGCCGGTTTTATGAAGACTTCCAAGAGATACAGTTATAAAAGAAATAGGTTTTACCAGTGGGCAACGGTAAACAATTTCGTTCAATGAGGAACAAAAGATTTCCAAACTTTTTTTTTTTTTAGTTATACTCGTTTAATGGAAAACTGTGAGGAGATAATTAACTAGAACAGAGTATACATCCAGGTTGGTCATTACAAATAGAGCGGGAAAAAAAAAAAAGAATGTAAGGGACATGGGAGTAGTATGTCTGAGACCAACAAAGGGGGTGGCACAGCTTATACTACTCAGACCATACTAGAATGTATCACTAATACTTTGCAGACCAAGGGGGTTATTGAATCATGGGGAATATATAATAGCTTAAATTCAAATCCAAATACCTACAAAAACCTCTCACAGTGATAAACCATCTACAGAGTTCCACAATCAAACATTAGCCTTTTAGTCAAAAAACCGTAGAAGTATGATATCTGATGCACGCAATGAACAAAGATCACTTACTCCTCTGTAGCTGGTGACTACAATTATAAATCTAAATCTCCTGAGCAAGGAACCAGGGGGACCCACAACGATACTGAATTCACAAACCAATGAGTAACTGCTGTTTGCTACCAACAGTACAAGAAACCTACAAGAGTTACGGAGACTGTGTTTCCTTGCTTGACCACAGCTGGACCAACAACCATATCCCCTTTAAAATCAGGCATAATTACAGTATAATACACAAGACCACTGCCCTTAACTTTCCTCATAACAACTCTTGGTGTAAGAGAAATGACGTCCATAGGACACTAGTAATAGTCCCTTCAGACTTCAGACAGATGAGGGTCAGCCATTAACCATTTGTATGGGGTTTTCGCCCCGTACTAGTACATCTTTTACTGCACGGGTTGTTTTGAAGACTAGTACCGCTAAATTCTAGCGCCGTCAAATCGTCTCGGGAAAAGGCTGGTAGGCCTCTCCTTATGAAAGAAAGTGGGTCTAATGTGGTCAACAAGAGAAGAGCTTTAGAACCTTTTAATGGACTTGGATATATCAAAGTCAATGAAGCCTGACAATATATAATCAGGGATTCTATGAGAGGGTGCAGAAGCATTGCATAAACCACTAGCTATGACTTACAATGGATATGGGACAGTTACCAGAGATCTGGAAGACTGCAGCTTTAGTCCCTACATTTGAGAAAGGAGAAAGGAGTGACTGTCAGGACAGAAACATCAGAATGGGGAAGAGTAACTAATGCAAGGATTAGCAATATGTTGTATGTAAGGTGTACTCAACACCAAGGTGCATCTTCAATGTAAACTTTTACCTCGCTAATTTTGTAGATCAGTGGAGGTCAACTTCATTGGTAATGGATCTGTTTCAGAATACTGAAGCACACAAAGTTTGTAAAATATATTTCACTAACAATGCCTACAAGGATATTGAAAGAGAATGTTGAAGAATGTATAGAAGAAAAGAAGTGAAGAGAATGTTAAAGGAATGTACATGTATATAAGAAAAAAAGGGGTTATATACCGGACTGATTAAAATGAGCAAGTCACTACAAAAGAAAGAGAATCTGCACCAAAAGTAGAAGCTAAAACATTCATACTAGGTGCAAGAAGATTATTGGAACAGAAAAGCTACTCAGGAAATTGCAAAAAAAAAAAAAAAAATCCTAAATATTTTTACACACAAGCAAAATTAAGTAAAAAATCACATCCAGAAATGGACCATAACTCACAGGTGGTTCATCCTTTATGTTGATGATGAAACAGAAATGATCAAAATCCCTAAAAAACAGCATGAATTATTGTTCAAAAGCAACTAAAGAAGACAGTTGATTGTAATAGTTTTTTAATTACCTCTGCTGCTCCTACAAACCATAGTATCAGAGCTGGAAAAAAAGCAGACATCACTTGCTGACTGCATAGAACTGATAAGTCATTGTAACTACTGGGAATGCCTCACGGTACTGAAGAAATAGAGAGAGAAATGCCTGGTAATATGTACATGAAAGATAATCTGAGGGCCAAGTCTCAAACCTACACATGACCATAACAATTAACCAGCATGAAAAGCATTAAAGTATGAAATAGACACAGTGAAAAGCAGGGGTGTCATGAACACTGTGAAAACACTGTGTCACCATCCATGGTTGATGACTATTCAACACGTTACCAGCAGATATCACAAATACTGTTGGAATATGTATTGAAGTTTTCAAGAGGAAACTGGATCACCATGTACTTCTGCTAAGTACGAAATCACCGAGGCTTTGATAGATACATGTATAGGGGCCAGTGGGTTTCCAACCGCAACAGCCTGGTTGAACACACAGTCAATAGAAAAGCCTGGCCCCAGACTGGGCTGCGAGGTGAGGAAGAAAAAACAGTTGGAGGAGGTTGCAGCTACACCCTATACGTATATCATGATGTATTGTTAACATTCTTGTTTTCTCTGACAGAAGATTCAAACAGTAAAATTTAAATAGCAGGAAAATCTTTTTGTCTGGATCCTTGTACCTTCTGCATGTTCCTCTGGGCGAGCAATAATTACACATACTAATGCCTCTGCATTTCCCATTCTCAACACACTTTTGTCTGCTTCATTCTCTGAGCACCCTTTGCAAGGCTCTGACACAAACATAAATATATAAATACTGTATTCCAGTTAGCAATTGTCAGTGTCTGAATTAGTGCCATTTTAGTGACCATGTCATAACAGTGGTGTATAATTTAAAAAAAATTAATCAGTTAAGTATTTAAATCTGTATTTGTAATTTTCTTTTACACCTTAGTAGTCTTTATGGCTCCACATTAAGTAATAAACAGTACAGTACATCGATATACAAAGGTATGCCATCTCTTATGGCAGTGATATTAGTTAATATAAAAAATATAATTATTATTATTCTTTAAACCATATGAGAGTTGCTTGTGAACATTGGCCACAGTGTGTGAAGATAGTGTTGCTTGTGTAAAAATCTAAAGATTTTCTTGTATTACAGATCCAGGAGTGATCTGTTTAAACAAAACATCTAGCAGTTTAACGTTTCAACAATCCAGCTATCCAGAGCATCAGTGATGGTTAGTGAAGTGACTGCTCTTTTGTCCTCTTGTCATACATAAGCATATAATGAATGACTTTACATTGGTCCCTCAGACTTTATTACCAATTGATTCTAATTAAAAGAATTCATGACAGTAGTATTGCAGTAATGAAATGTATAGAAGTACATTACTAGTTGATATTTTTGATGTACAAATGCTGACACAAGTAGCTATCTCTTGAGCCTGTACTGCTGGATTTGTAACACACCACTGTTATGTCATACTGGATATGGGGTAGATTAAACTTGCATGCAAGTGTGGGATATTTTATAATGAGTGTTCATGTTTACGTAGATGGTGGAATGGCAGAAATGAAAGATAAGAGGTGTGGGGTAGTGGGTCAAGAGAAGTACTTTCTAATGTTTTGGACATTTGGAGAGAAGATCTGTTAGTAGGCTTGTGTGGAAGATGTACAAGCACTCTGAGTATACTCCAGGAGTAGAAAAACTCTTGAAGCTCATCAAAGGTATACATCTGACCAGAAGATCATGTCCAGATATGGGTCTCCTTAGTTTTTTCTTCCATGGTCACATTCCTGAAGAAAACAAGGAGTGTCTGAGATAGAAGATAGTTTTGCAAATTTGTTTAAAAGACTTTGCAAATAGTTTAGAGATGTGCAGGAATAGGTGTATATGGAGATTACTGTGCATCTGCCACCTTGCTGGAAGTGAAGATGATGTACCACCTATAGAGGATAAGTTTGGTGAGGTTGGCTTTTAAAGCTCATCAATTTACTCAAAGTATTGTATAACATTCTATTTTCCTAAATCTGATGAAACATTCTTCCTCTTCCTTTTTTATCATTGGTGATGTTTCCCACACTCATGACGTGTGGCTTCATAGAACGCCCTCCTCGCTGGTTCATCCCTGCACGACCCTGATAAAGAAGACTCTTGGGTAGGAACCATGCATTTGTGTTGAGAGATATTCAGGAGATGAACTAAAACTTAATCATGTTAAACAGGTAACTTGCTTATATGGTCTACTGATACCTATATATGCTAGTATTTGTGAATTCAGTTTGTGAATGTACTGGAAGTACTGCATTTATAAGCTGAATTACAGGACTAGAGGTGTCGAGAGCATTAGTGCGAGTTTCAAGTTTGTTGATGAACTTCAGTGCATCTCTTGCATATGTTTGTGGCCATATTCAATGTGACATGTGCTTCAGAACCAGTAGCTTACTTTTTCACTGATATGTGTGTGTACATTATTTTTGAGATATTTGTGATGCATTGCTTACCTGTTACTGGACTTTCTGTAAACACAACTTTTCAGAAACCTACCAAGATGGCTTATATCCTCATGAAGGACAGTATTATAGTCCCATATTATACTTTCCTGTGTATGCCTAAATAAATACTACCTTGTATTTCTTAAATATCTTTTAATTTCTTGCCATAGTAGGTTATCTTAATAACAGTGTTCTGCTTCAGCTATAACTGTCATTATCATTTACAACATAGCTTTAAATATAGTAATTTTTATGTTAAATCTATGGTTGTTGTAATATAATTATGGTTCATTATGACTTTCATTTCATTTTATTGTAATTTGATGCCTTATCTGAAGATACCCCCTCCCCCACAAAAAAAAAAAAAAGAAAATTCCTGTGTGGGGGCAAGATTTTGATTTTTTTTTCTTACAGTTTGGAAGAGTACATTTTTCTAAATCAAATAAGACAAAAATGTGTGGAATCTGATAAAAACTTACCATTTTATGGTGTATTAAAGTTGCCCGAAATTGATGCAACGTTAGCAATATTGATGCTACAGTGCCTCTTAGTTGTAATTATAATTTTTTTATGCACTGATTGACACTAAGTACCACATTTTGCAATGAAAATATTCTGATTTTAAGCAAAAATAATGCTATAAATAAGTTGGGAAGCACACTGTGCCATAGCAAAACTATCAATGTTCAATATAAAACTATACAAGAAACTTGGTGTGTGTTATATGTAATGGTTGTTTCTCATGCAATACTTTGTGCAGATTTTTATTACCATATTAGAACTGTTTCAGTGTATGATATTCTTGAGAACATAGCTTGAGGCACACTGGAATACCACATAGCTTGTAGATATATTGTGTTTCTATTTGCTTCCTTGACTTTCTGCTTGTGTGCTGATAAAATTAGCATCATTGCTGTGCCTTTTCTGTAGCAGGAATATTATCAGGGAAGCATGTACATGTATCAGGCTTCAGTCGTAATGGATTGCTTTCACTGCCATGGCAAAGATATGTTGGCTGAACTTTTGTCTGGTATTTTTCTATTATCTGTCTTATGACAGATAAATGGAAATCACCCAATTTGAATTTCTGTCTTGTTTTCCCGTGGCACATAATATATGCATTCAGCATGCAGCATCCAACAGATGTTGCAGCCCCACCTGACATTCCATACACCCAGTTTGCATTTTGGTGTTGTATTCATTGACTTGCAGTCATTGAATACAACACCTATAAGGCTAACTGTTTGCCAGTTTGCCTTTCCAGTTTGCTTCATCTGATGCCTTTGTATGGATTGTCAACACTTTATCTCTTTTGTCATGCTGTTGAAATGCCATCATGTCATAGGTATGAAATACAGTACCTGCACTTCACTGGTGAATGATGGGATATGTTTTCTATTTCCTCTCACTGTCCTGCATATGTCTTTATTGCTTACCTTGAGGAAATTACAAAGAGAAAGCCTTTTGTATTAATTATCTGTGAATAAGGTATGCCCTTTGCCTAGATATGGTTCCACGTGCGACTCGCAACTGGACCAGTAAGTCCTAACATGTCATGTATACACAATATCTAGCACCTGTATACACAATATCTAGCACCTTACCAGTTTCACAATCACACATCATGAAAAGTTTGATACTAGACGGATGTCATTTGCTTGCTATGTATTGCTTGAAGGCAAGCCTTCCTTTGAATAAAATCAAGAGGCTAATCTATGACAGCATTCTTGAATGGATAAAAGTACTCACTGAAATTGTTTTAGGTACATAATCACTTCCTGTATTTTGTTAAGCAGATCATCTCTCTGGGGATTGCTTTTATCAAAGAAATGTAACATATGCAGCAGTAAGAGAAAGCAATCAATGGGCATGGTTTTACCAAAAGTTGATGTTGTTATAAGTCTGTCTTTACTCCAGTACTTAGATATATTATTCTTATGGGTGTGTGGCATCAACATTAGTGTTGCAAAGAAGAGATACAGCTCTGCAATAGTAGTGTGTTCTACTTTCAGCACTGATTTCAGTTGGGCACCATATACTTGTAATAGTTATTTGTTTGGGCAACAGTAATATTCATAAGTGTGTCAGTGAAGAATAACTGAAAGCAGTCAAGTGGAATCATCTGTTATTGAATAACTTATGGTCAATTCCACTATTACTATCATCAAATTGTGAACATTTGGAACAAATGTTCACAATTTGGTCTGTGAGTGTATAATATTTGCCATTGTTGGCATGGTCCACTGCTTCTGTCACAGCTGTTGGTGGTGGTACTGCTGGTGGCATTGTCATGGCTGATGGTGTCACAACTTGTGTTGTTGTCATGGGTGGTGGTATCACTGCTGTTTGTGTTGGCACAGCTGGTGCTGTTGTCATCACTGTTGGTGCTGCAGTAGATGTTACAGATGGTGTCAGTGCTGCATGTGGTTTTCTCATACCAAAGAAAGCCCCATCAGTATCACAATCACTATCACTATGTCCTGCAACAGTATTATCCTGTATAGATGTGTTACCAATGAACTGTGTAACAACACATGACCAAGAGCCAGACGCAGTATGACCCTTCACCTGTGTTTGTTTCATGGGCAGATATTCTGCCTCACTATCACTTGATTCGGAAATCTCCTCTTTTTACATATACTCTTCTCCACTGTCATCACCCTCATTACTCTAATCATTATCAGTTTCTAGGGTAAAGAGCCTTCAGCATCTCCTTTGTTGTATATCAAGACCTGAGATGGATGGCATTTCTATATCTTGTGTTGAACTTGCACTTCTGTCATAACTGGTTGTACCACTGTTGCTGACCCCTTCACAACCAGAAAATGATGCTCCATTATCACTCTCCTCACTGTCACAGTATTTCACTGCAAGAAAGGTTATTGTGTCAGCCTGCCATTGTGAGCCTATGTTTACTGGGTGATACTACCCATAATGTCCCATGTGTACCCACGTAGCCTGGATTTTTTTCCTAGAAGGCACAAGGTAATTATCGACCCAAACAACACAGCTGAGGCTTAAAATGGTGGCATTATTTAATTTAACTTATTAAATCAAATTAGAGAATGAAGGCTGCATTACAGTACCAGTATCTCTGTATGACAGTCACAAACTGCAGATTTGGTACAAACATCTTGAGCCTCCTGTAAGCATTTTTAGATATTTAGCTTCTTTCATGAATATGAAATGAATATGGAGAAGTTGAAGATAATGTAGATTGTATTATTTATATTTTACTAATAGCATTTGAATTGTGGTTTCCCAAACAGTAACTGCTTGTGAGGGACAAAAACATAGTGTACAGTTATGAATATTGCACCTTTTCATGATGACCATTAATCTGTAGCATTTTGTAACTGTATATGAATTGTGTGCATACAGGATTCTTTCCAAACTATAGGGAGTAGCTGGAACATCCATTGCTGTTAGTGACCCTGTCCAACTGAATTTATGCTGAAGAATAGGCATCTTTCCTTTAATGCATTGTTACAGCATGCTATTGACTGTATTTCAGGTTGGGTTCTTCACATAGTTTTATGTTCTCTATTCATTATCTCTAAAACATGTTTTATTCCTGTCTAACATTCCTTGCCATTCTTTCTCACAGTTCTTGTATGATTCTCTTTTTACAGCTTGCTAATTGTTAATTTCTTTATTATTCTTTTAATTTCCTGTATGCCATGGAAACATCACAGTTGTCTTCCCAAAAGTTGTGCCATCATAGATTTAATTTTCTTACTTTTTTGTGGTACTGTACTAGTAGATGGATTTTTCTCCATTTTTCAATGAGCCTTTCTCTTATCCAAATTTGAAACTAGACTTCAGGGATTGTTTCTGGAAGCCTTTCAGTCATTTGCAGCCAAAAACTTGTACAGTATTCAGAATCTAACATTCTGTACTATCATTGTGAGATCTCAAAAAGCCTATTATCTCTGTTAACTTGTGTTTCCTTGGTCTTCATGATCCAACAACTTACAGAATTAGCCTAGTACAAACATTAGTAAAGCAACAGTTTGTCATAATCCCTTATTGTTTCTCTTCAGATGACACCTACAGGCTTTTGTTATCTAGGCCTTTCACCTCACTCTGTTCTCACTCTTCCCAAACACTTTACAAAGTTTATAGTTCAAGTCTGCCATTACCAGGTTCCTATTTCTCTGCTCTGGATTCATGCTTGCCCTTACTTAATAATTTTTAATCATGCTGATGCTACTCAGTGTACTAATAACTCAAAATCCACTGGTGGAATGGGATATGCAGAAATTTTTCCTGAATACATGATCCAAACCCAATGTTGCATTCATCTACTTTTTTTTACAGCAGTGTTGCATGCTGTTCTTACTTTTGTCATCCATGTTGCTCCTGTGTCTGAGTCATCATTTATTGTAGTCCAGGACTCAAAGTGTATTATAAGGCATTCAGAACTTTCTTCGTCTCATCTCATCATTCTCAATCAGTGTGGCTGTGCTACATTTTTGGCATACACAAAAAAGGTTGTATTTTGTTGGGTTCCTGTCCATGCTGGTTTTCAGAGAAATGATCTTGCAGATTCCTTGACATGTTCAGCATGTTATTACCTTTCAATCTTTCACAGATAGTTGGCATGCTTGGGCTGTTTTCAGTATTAACTCACTTCTTTCAAGATGGCTGGCCTGGTCTTTGGTCTTCATTAGTAACCAACAAGCTCTATTGCATCAAACCACAGTTAGACTTTGACTGTTCCTCGTTCATTGTTGCTGGATATAAAACTGGTTTGCCCCACTGACTGTGACTGTCCTTTTACCATTGTCCTTTTCCCAATACCACTCCTTATCTTCTGAAATCTTCCTACCCTTGCCCTATAGTTCTGAATGACCCACACAGGTTTAATGCTTTTCATGAAAATAATTTTAATATCACTACCAAATAATCACTTATAATGTACAGTTCAATGCAGTATCTTTGATTCAGTATATTATACAACTTATACTGCATTATTTCTTATATAAAATTCAGCATTTTATGTAACTGAAATCTAATGTTTTATACAAATAATTACAGTACTAATACAGTATATTAGTATAACTTGCTGGTAGGAAAGATTATGCTCAATGTAATAATTTGACATAAAATATGTAGGACTGCATGATTCTATAGCACTTGTCACATGAATATGGCTATACCATGAAACGTATATATCTGTGCATGCTTTTTATGTATTTATAATAGATCCATCTTTAGTTTTAACAAGATACTTGTGTTAATAACGTATTGTACAATATATGGTACATGAATTCTGATCAATCTTTTGTCTAATTGTGGTGTTATCCGAGTTTAATGGAAGTTTTTGCTAACTGTGATGTTACCTATATTGAATGGCAATTTCTGCCATAGAATAATTGCTGGAAGAATAGATACAAAGTGAAATGTTTTGACAGATTTATCCACATGTTGTCTGAAGTTAAATTCCCTAAAGAATGATGTCTCATGGATATAGATCCAAAAAAGATAAGTGGACTTCACAATTTTCTGCTCTCTGGTCTTACAGAAATAATCAAAATACTTTTTAGTCAAAGTATTTTACTGTAGTTCATATTGCCTAATATAATTAATGGACTTATTGTTTTATTTTTGAGATTTAAAAAGGAACGTCTTTTGGGCTTAGATATGCATCAGATAAGAAGTCCCATAAAAACTCAGCTTTATACTTTTTAAGCTTTTCTTGAAAGTACACATATCAGAATATGTGAAATAATTGATTTTTTTTATGTCTGCAAGGATACTGAATAAGTTGGCAACTTCTGCTTTCCAAATAGTGGTATATTTTTTAAAGAAATAATGTTTCACCCATGTCATCTTTAAACAGTCTCTTCTCCTTTTTGTTTGGTTTGTAAGGGCTTCTGACAGTTTATGCTGTATCGAGTCCTGCTTCTCAGTGAAGGAAAACAGGAAAATGAAATAAAAGGGAACAGGAGTCCCTTTGCAAATAAAAAAAAAACTAGAAGTTCCCATGTAGGCCAGGCGGATCCTCTTTGCCAAGCCCCAGCAGAGTAGAACATTCACACCTTCACCTGAATTCAGCAACTGGTTTTCTGCCACTTATGTTAAAGAACTATCTACAGAATAGAAAAATAATACTGATGAATGGTGCCCTTCCAGTAAAATACCCAGCAAGCAGAATAAGATGAGGACATGCATCCCAGAGAGAGAAAGGGAAAGACAAAGAAGGAGAAAAAGTCACTTATGTTTACAAGGAAACCTTTATTACTGCTGTGTTTTGTCCAGTGATGTAATTTATCAAGGTACACAAAAAAAAATATTAGGTGGTATCAGAAACTTCCTGAACTGTCACGAAAAAAAATATAGGCTTACTTAATTGTCTAGTTGACATTGTCTCCCTTGAAGTACTCTCCTTGGGAGGCTGTACACTGATCCCAGTGCCTCTGCCATTTCTTGAAACATTTCTGGAACTTTTTCTTAATGGCATATAGCATGGTCTGCGATTCTGCTTGAATCTCCTCCATGTCGTTAAAACACCGCCCCTTGAATGCCATTTTTATTTTTGGGAACCGAAATAAGTCACAGGGGACTAGATCTGGGGAGTAGTGATGCTGGAGGTTGACTGACATGTTGTTTTTAGCCAGAAAACAAGGTCTTTCTAGTCTTCACTCAGCAAGCAGGGCACAAATTTTGTATCCACAAATTTTGCATTCCTCATGTTCAATTTTTCAGTCAAAATGCTTTGACATGACCCATAAGAAAATTCCCACAGCACTTGCAGTGTTCTGGATACTCTGATGATGATGATCTTGAATAGTCTTCTTTCTTTTTTTTTTTCAATGTTGGCATCTGTGTTTGATATTGTGTGACCAGAGAGTTCATCATCCTCATCTGATGTTCTTCATGTGTTGAATCAAGAAAACCATCAAAACACTCATTTTCCTTTCAAACAGGAAATCTCTTGTTGAAATAGTTTGCCTTTTCTCACATAAGTCACTTTCTTAAATGTTCTAATGCATTAAGAAACTGGGTATCACTATGAGGAATTTGGGTAATCATTTGTATGTTGTTCCAACCTCATAAGATAAGCGATTTGTTTCTATTTAGTTCTAATTCCACATAATGATTTTACCCATTTCTGGGTCACTTTTTTGTATTTACCCTTGTGTACAGTAATATGTATTCCTGTTTAAACTGTCAGGATTTTTTTTCTCCCATGTTTGGTAAATGGTGGAGTGCAGACATTCACAATTATAATTTTTTTATTCTGGATTTCTTCCACTAGACTTTTGAGATGTGTGTTTTATATTTTAATTTGTATAATTTGAAGTGATTCTTTTAACAAAATTGCCAAGTCTTTTCTCTTCTCCACACTGAGTAGATTCTATTGAATACAACTTGATTTAAAATATTTTTTTTATCAGTGTACTTTTGACAAAATATGCACTATATCGGGTGTCTTCAAATTTATATCTTCCCTTAGCTTCAGTCTTTTTGGATTACTCCAGTAAGTCAAAGTTTTACAAATGTGTTTATCTCACCATTTTTTCCTTTCATTTTTTGTTTTGATTATTATTGAGTGTGTGCACTCATGCATGTGTGCATTCATGTACGTGTGTATGTGCATATTCGTGTACAGGTGTTTTTGTTTTTTACACAAAAGATATATCATGTATTATCAATGAGCAGTAGAATACTGTAACAACATTATCTGTCCATCAGATATTGTCTTAATTTTGTCTTGCTCTATTTCTACATCTTCCTGAACTGTATAATCAGCATTCTATCACTATCTACCTTAAAATTTTCATATTTATCAGTGAGCTCATCTGGTTTACCATAATGTAAATATTTCTACAATGTGTTCAATAGTGCACATGAATGAGATAAAAGCAGAACTACTAGTACATCCTTTGACCAGGAGCCCCCACTCTCACCACCACCATGTGACATAAGTGATGATGAGCTAGTCAGCATCAGTGTTCGAGACCTCAACCGCCAGTTGAAGCTTCGTGGTCTCTGCCGAGAAGACATTATTAAAATGAAACAAAGACGAAGAACTCTCAAGAACCGAGGATATGCAGCCAGGTTAGACAATAGAGCTTTTGTAAGTTTGTTATTCATGCTTAACTGTATAGTCAGTTGCACATACTACCTGAATTAAATTTTGAGTAATTCATTGTTCTGCAAGTATAGGATATACTTAAACAGATAATATCATCATCATTATCTTATTTCCTATTTTTATAGAGTTGGGGGGACACTTGCTTATAAGGGATAGAAAAGTATTGTTCAAAGTGAAAGGGGTTACCTAAACAATAAACTTCTTGACATTTGCATGTTTGTGACAGGACTGGCCTTGGACTGGGCTGCAAGAGTAGGGAAATTCTCAAAACCTTTTAAAGAGATATCTTGATCTTTATGATATTTAGCAAAGGAAAACACTGAAGATAGTGAATCATAGCCAGAGTGATCCTGACCTTGTTTATCATTGCTTTGCTCTATAGGCAGCTTTAGTAATAATCTCATTTTTGTAATGGTATAGGCTTCACTTGCAAAATAAATTGTTTAAATTTATGCCTATTTGACACTAAACCCATAGGGGTTATACAGTGCCTGGAGAATGGGAGGTAATCAGGTTTGATTCAAGGAAGGGGAGAATAGCTCCAATCAAGAGCACTTCACTGGTATCTCACTTTAAAATAGATTAATTTATATACTATTTGTCTTGCTAAATATAATTTACAGATGTGCTCTTTAATTAACTTTAAAGACATTTTAACAGTAGTTATTACATGAAATGCTGGGTACTTGTAGAAATCATTTTTAACAAATGAAGTTTAATTAGTTTGTCTAATAACATATGTATTTCCCCTTTATTTTTACCAACTAGCCAAAGACTGCCTAACTATATGCAATGTGGCAGTGAAAATGTGTTTGTCGAGTACATACTAGCTGATAAGATGTCCTGCTTGATTGTAGTGCCAAGATATGCTATAATTAGTACTCAATAAAATTTTAGAGCTTAACTGTTTATGCTATTTTTTTTTAAAGGATAAGCACTTTCTTGTGAACATAACATTTTTAGAGGTAATTATTTACCAAATCCTTTTGTTTCTCTCACAGTTGCCGTATAAAGAGAATAGAACAAAAGGATGAGCTTGAGTCAGAACGAACAACTGAACAAGTTGATATCGACAAATTTGTGAGTGATAATTTAAATATGAGAGCAGAAATTGATAGATTATACCAAAATTATGAAGCCCTGAAAAAGTTTGCCAACCAGAAGAATATTCCTCTTCCACCAGATCTGGAGGCTCTTTGATCTTTACTTTGCTAGTAATGTATATACGTATGTGTGTGTGTGTGTGTGCACTCTTCTCTGATAGTGGTCCTTGTTCATATGGCCTCTCAGGGTATTTAGTATAATTGGTCAAATGATGATTGAGAGGTATCACGTGCACTTATCAAATTTGTTTGTACATTCCAATTTGGTAGTCTGTTCTCTGGTGTACTTTATTCATTTACTCAAGGAACTGGTGCTCTTATTTGCAACTTGCTGCCTAAGAAAGATGTTGTCTAAAGTAAAATGTTACTTGAGGCTGTTTAATTCACAGTACTTTAAGTGATTGTTAAAACCGTATAGTGAATGAAGTACAGTGTATCATTTTGAGTCAGTGTTATTTTTTTACATGTATTGAGTCAAGCTTTACTAATTAGGTAAGAGTTAGTTGTGTTTTTTGTTTCTCCTGATAAGGCATAGAAGTTGCTATAGTCATATATTGTTTATTAAAACTTGGCAAGATATTTTATTTGACTTAACCTTTCCTAATATTTTGTCATTGATAAGTTCTACTAGTGATGCTTATAAGCATCACTGGCCAACAGAGGTTTCAGTTCACATTTAAAAACACGTGTTTCTAATTTTGGGATGCTGAATTCAAATCTGAACTTTGTTTTGCTCCTCCACATACGTATATTATTACAATCATAGCTGTGCGCTAAACCCACTAGGGCTATATGGCACTGTCTGACATGTACAGTTTCTTTTAAATAGAACCCCACAGTGAACGATTTCACCAAGATGTAGCCATCACGGAGAAGAGATATCAAGAAAGCCTGGCAATTAGTTTGATGGTCAACTACTGCTGGACACCAGTGCAGTACTGAACATGTGCACAAATGCCAGAAAACTGTGATGTTTGTATGACTTTGTGCTAATTTTTTATTTTTATGCAAATACAAAATGAATTTATATTAAGGAAGATTAGTTTTTGTCATAGCATGCACCACACAATATCTATGCATAATATAATACCTATGATTGTTAGGTAATATATGTGAGTTTTTAACCTTAAATAGCTAATATGTTGATTTTAAGATTTCAAAGAAACCTTATGTGATAGACTAACATGTTCATAATCTTGATCAGCACATCTAAACCAATTTGGTTTCCAAACTGGATAAAAAGTTTGTTGGCTAACATTATGAAAAAGATAATGCAGAAAAGAACAGCTCTCAGAATTGGTCACAGGTGTGCAAACTGTTGTTATATCTTTACTGAAGAGGTGTTGTTGTAAGATTAAAGAATGTGCAGCCAGGCTTAGATTCTTTACATGAATATGACGACTTGGCAGTTCAGCCAGCTATTCACAAACGACCAATTTCTCCCGCAGGAGTTTTCCTGTCTCGGTCTATTTTCCAGTTTTCTCTCAATTTCTCTAAAACTGCTGGCAGTAATGTTGGTCCTAGTTAGAATGCAGCAAATTGCTTTCTATCAAACCACAATTGGGTTGACTTAAGAAATCGTAATGACACGATTGCAAACAAACCATACCCCCGGCCGGGATTGAACCCGCGGTCATTGAGTCTCAAAACTCCAGCCCGTCGCGTTAGCCACTAGTGGCTAACGCGACGGGCTGGAGTTTTGAGACTCGATGACCGCGGGTTCAATCCCGGCCGGGGGTATGGTCACAATTGGGTTTCTTGCCATCATCTTCTCACTGCTGTTGGGGTTGGGAAACTACACTCACATGATTACATATTGGACACACACACAACTCACAGATACCACATGGAGTAATACCCCACACCTTTCTGTGAAGACTGCTGGGTAGCACTGTCAATTTGCCATATCTCAACAGGCTGTCCTATCAGAAAACACAAACATTTCACTTTTGGCATCTACAGCACTCTGATGTAATCATTAAACAACCTCCTTGCTGAAAATCCTGCCTTAATTCAAACTCGCTCTTATATTTTTAAGGGGAATTAATCCACTGCATCAACAATGGCTTCGGTTTTGCACCCGTACTAGCCCCAACGTCCATTAACTCCGACCCTGGCACACCCCTACCAACAAAGTCATATGACCTATGAAGGTTTAATGCATGTTTTGAATAATAATCTTTGATGGCAGTAATACCTGGTGGTATAAGCTTAAACCCTTCAATAGTGTCATCTAAGCTTATTGTACATTACATGTATAGGATAATTACACAATATAGCTTACTACATTAATTTTCATTTGCTAAACACATTCTGAATTATTCTGTTTCCTTATCATTAAATAAGTACAGGAAGTGAAAAGGTACAAAAATAGAACAATGTTTATGAAATGGAAGATTAACTTGCATTAGTCAGCCAATATAGGACCTCAACATCTTTATCATGTTAATTGTCCAAAGACAAATATGGATTGTTCTCATGTATCACAGCTGCTATTACTACTCGATCTAGAAAGTTTTAAAGTTTGTCACAGAAAATACTCGGAAAAATGTAATAACTTTATTTTCAAACATGAACCTTCATTAGCTGACAGAGGCAGGCATAAAATTAGTTGATCTGTACTGAGACTGTGAAGGAACAAAGAACAAGGCAAGCACAAACACCATTGAGTGCTTTGTACAAGAGGCGGTTAAGTTTTACAATGACAAGGGGCACAACGTTCTGCACAGACTTATTACAACATTTAACACTGGTGATGTTTATAGAACTGCTAAATGCTGTGTCCTCTACCTTGCAATAAAGGTCCAGTAACTATGTAGCTGTGCTTGTGAATGGTACCACTGATGACACAACAACCAATGAACAATTAGCACGTTACTCAAGACTGATATGACGACACAGAATCATAACATCATAGTACTTTATTTTTAAGTTCATGTTACAGTTAGCATGCTTGTACTGCCGTATAATACACACATTATACACTTATTAAAACACCAATACTGCCAATACTGTTGCTATTCAGTCGATGTCATTGCTCAACACTGGGTGTTAAAAAATGGAAGGCAGACACTTCTCTTTTGAAGCATGACATTGCTTACATACAAACATTGGATAAAACTACAGACTAGAGTATTTACTTTTCTTATGTAGAGTAAACAAAGTGGCTAATGTACACATTCACATATACTCCTACCAATTTATACAACACTGTATGACCTCTGCCAGCAGAAAAATCTTTATTTTTGTGTTGCTAATACAGTCAAGCACAGAAATTTGGAATCTGATAATTTGTATAACCAAGAGGTTCATTTTGGAACTTGAACATTACTACATGGTATTCTTTCATTCGTTCTATAATATTTTGTCTTGGAAATTATACCTTAAAATTTTTCTTAGATTTTCAGAGTTAGGCAGGGCCGTTCAAAAGTACTGAACACCTGCTGCCTGACAGATCTGAACTTTCAGTCCTTGACTGTAGTTAAGAGTACTGTACTAATTAAACTATATACCGTATGCTTATAAATACTAATGTAAATGCTTATTGTATACAAATGGAAGTATACATTGACTTACAAGCACCCTATTTCACAAAAATACCAGATATATAACTCTCATAAAAACTACTCTTCTAATACATTTAATTTTGTCTCAATTCAATGTTTATTTATCCTACACTATATTTTTAAATCACAAATGGCATGTTTTTTAGCTGTAAGAATTATGTAACTCTAAGAACACCTTAGTACTTTAGAGTGTCATGTTAACCCTTTGAGAATCAGGAACCCCTGATCTGGAACAGAGTATTAAAAAAAAAAATCTTATGAAATGATAAAGAATCTTTTTCCAAAGGTAATGAAACCAAAAGTACGAAATTTGATGGAAAACTTAGAGTGAATTAGCAACTTTCCACAAGTTTAGCAGTCTTGCGTATATTTATAGCTATCTGCAGTTTTGCCCTACTTGTGAACGCCTTATTTTTTATCAATTCCATTTTTAAAGTAATCAAATTCATAGCTATTTTGCTAGTTTCACAATATCACTATGGTAATTTGGTCAGATCAAAAGAAACACGCCAATATTTACCTAATTCAACTTCCATATAGTGTCAGATCATAATTTTGGCATTTTACACAAAATTACTATAGTTGTATTTTTAAAATGTCCAAATAAACAATTGTATCAACCATTCCTGGCACGAAAAAACAATACTTTCTCTGTTCATTAGTTTCCTATATGTACGCAGTTGCTTCCATTTTATATTTTTATTCACACAAAATTTACTTTTATGCAGACTACTGCATTATTGTAAAACTTGTATAAATAATGTCAACGCATTTGTGGACGCTTATTAGACTTACCAGCTGGACGTATATTGGACGAGTGACGTAATTCATGTAGTACTCTGGAATAGTGGCAAAAATTGAACGTTTCCACTACTTTGAACTTCATTGGAAGCTAGTTTCAGTCCCGAAACCAATCAAAATCATCTCTGTTTCTGTAATATGTCTTCCATTCTACTATATGAGACCAAGAATACAACAATAAAAACCATGCAAAAATACACTGCAAAATCAGTTTCAAACCCAAAATAGTTTTTTTTTTTTTCCCCATTAAGCACTGCTTGCTGTAAAAAATTTTTATATGGTGCACACTTAACACAATTGACCCATTCTCTCATATCTAGGCCCATATTTACTGCTCACAGTTTATCTGAGCAACCTTAGCTCATGCCATTAGAACTACAGGACCGACCCAGGCTTCAAAGCTGTAGTACTATGGGACCGACCCTCAAAGGGTTAAATATTATGCCAATACTTGGACCTTTGCAATTATGGAACAACCACAAGTGGCTGAACGAACCAAGACACTAACTACATACTTAAGAAATAGCTGTTCATGTACCATATATATATACATAACAGTTTGTAATGCTGTAACTTAATCTGACGTACACTGTAGTAATTGTGGAGTTACCTTGATCATGTAACAGGCAGATATGTAACTTAACCTGATGTACATTGTATGGAGTAGTTATGGAATTACCATGATCATGCAACAGGTAGATACAAGTATATGATCTAAACTTAACTGGATATTTAACATTGTACAACAGTAACCACAAGAGGTATTAAATGTTGCACGTATAACAACAGACATTGAATCTTTTCATGTGTTCTAGGTTATCATTCATAATATTGTAGTACTTTGTTCTCTGGGTCTGCACCTGATGATCCTGGTTATAAATGGTATGGTGATACTAACAAACTGGAAAAGGGCACTTGTCTACTGTACACAAGTGTCCTCTTCCATACTGAAAATTCTCAAATACTGAGAAGGAAGATAAAAAGTTAAGTAATATTTGTAGGTTATCCCAAGAAAGTATCTATCACTCATCTTAATTATATTGGTATTACACACCTATAGCTGCTGGTAGTGAACAGATTTTTTTTTTGCTATTTATTGAAACAAAATTTACATTACCTGGTTTTGATAAGATAAATGTAAATGTAGATTATATGGTTTTAACAAAAATGAACATACAGGACATAACAGAGTTTAGTCAAAGTACAAACT